AGCCTGGCTCTGGCCCAGGGAGGGGTCTACTCTGATCCCTGCCCCTGGCTCCATCTCATGCCAATTATCTGCTCCTCCCTCTGGGCCTCAGCTTCCCAACCTGTACCAGAGAGGGCTCTAGACTTGATAAATTCTGAAGGTCTCCAAGTTGTACAGTGTCTGATCTTTTTTTTTTTTTAATGTTATTGATATCAGAGAGGAAGGTAGAGGGAGAGAGATAGGAACATCACTGATGAGAGTGAATCATGGATTGGTTGCCTCCTGCACGCCCCACACTGGGGATCGAGCTGGCACCCAGGGCATGTGCCCTGACCGGGAATCGAACTATGACCTCCTGGTTCATAGGTCGACGCTCAACCCAAGCCATACTGGCCAGGTTCCATCTAACCATATTTTAAAGACATTAGTACAGTGGATAGAAAGGTGCTTAAAAGTAAACTCAATATACCAAAATTCAGAGTAATGCTAAAATCTACATATGGTTTTATATAAGCAAATTGAATTACTCATTATAAAGTAGAGGGGGAAATGTTCAGGCCACAAACCAATACCACAGTCCCCTCTTATCTGAGGGGGATTCATTCCAAGACCCCAGTGGATACCTCAAATGCAAATAGTACTGAACCCTACATATATATATACTGTTTTTTTCTATACATACATGCCTATGATAAAGTTTAATTTATAAATTAGGCACAGTAAGATATTAACAACAACATAGAACAATTATAACAATATCCTATATAATAAAAGCCTAATAATGCAAATGACCAAACGGCAGAACGACTGGTCTGGTCGGTGTGCTCCCACTGGGGGAGCGCCACTCAGCCAGAAGCCAGGCTCACAGCTGGCGAGCACAAATCGCAGACTGTAAGGAGCGAGGGGTCCCAGACTGTGAGAGGGATGTCTGACAACTGGCGTAGGCCGGATCCCTGGAGCCCTGGTGATCGGGCCTAAGCCAACAGGCAGACATCCCCCGAGGGGTCCCGGACTGCAAGAGGATGCAGGCCCACTGAGGGGACCCCGCCCCAACCCCGTGCATGAATCTTGTGCACCAGGCGTCTAGTACTGTAATAAAAGTCATGTGAATATGGTCTCGCTCTCAAAATACATTACTGTACTGTAGTCATACTTCTTGTGATGTGAGATGATACAATGCCTATGTGATGACATGAAGTGAGGTACTCAGAACCACACACAATTTAAAGCATAAATTGTTTATTTCTGGAATTTTCCAGTTAATGTTTTTGGACTAGAGCTGACCATGGGTAACTGAAACCACAGAAAGCAAAACTTGGGATAAGGGAGGGGGGGAACTACTATATACAGTGGGACCTTGACTTACGAGTTTAATTCGTTCCGAGACCCAGCTCGTTAACTCAAATTACTCTATCAATTCAATGCAAAAAATTGGCGGAGAGACAGCTGGTATCTCAAAAAACTCGTTAGTCGGGACACTCCTAAGTCAAGGCGTGTGTGTGTGTGTGTGTGTGTGTGTGTGTGTGTAAGTTAAATGGTAGTCATTTTTATTATTATGAGGATCAGAGTGATGAGTATGTAATGACATCTGACTTACACATTGCCTTGGCATGGTAATATAAAAAAACAAGTTCAATCTCTTTAATTCAAACAAACTACTTCTAAAGGCATTTAACAATGATCTAAGATTAATGCATAACCTCACAAATTGAGATTCCACCCCAAGACTTACAATGTGAATTTTGCATAGAAAAGGCTGAAAGCAAGAAAAACAAAGGTGGTAGAGGTATTATCTAACTCACGCGTTTACTGTTTGCTTACCAAAAGACACAGAAAACTATAATCATGAAGGTATGAGATTTTTAAAAGAAAAGTCCTCAGAATTAAAAAATGCACCTACACTGAAAACATTTACTTAGCCTCTATCGTGTACAGGATACTATGCCTACTTAATAAAGAAAAAGCATTCTGTACTGTAACTTAAATGCACTTTTTCTATGAAGTACAACCCTCCCATCCTCTTTACTCTTCTCAAAGCAACTGGAGTCAACAACAGGTACACAAACGG